GCTTTTGTCAAGATGGCCATTTGTACTATATTAATCCTACTGATCCATGAGCATGGGAGATCTTTTCATCTTCTGATATCTTCTCCATGTTTTTCTTAAAAGACTTGAAGTTTTTGTCATACAGGTCTTTCACTTGTTTGATAAGAGGCACCCCAACATATTTTATATGGTTTGTTTTTCCTGATTTTTTTGAAGTTTGACCTAATATTGTCTGGATTTTCTCAGTGCCTGCTGCTATGTCCTATTTTTTATTTCTGATTTTGTTGATATAGATATTCTTTCTCCACCTTTTAGTAAGGGTCTGTATCTTGTTGATTTTATCAAAGAATCAACTTTTTGTTTTATTGATTCTTTATATTGTTCTCTTTGTTTCTGTTTTATTGATTTCATCCCTCAATTTGATGATTTCTTGCTGTCTACTCCTCCTAGGTATGTTTGCTTCCTTTTCTTCTAGAGATTTCAGGTGTGCTATTAAGTTGCTAGTCTGAGATTTCTCCAAGTTCTTTATGCAGGCACTTAGTGCTATGAACTTTCCTCTTAGCAATGCTTTCATTGTGTTCCATAAGTTTGGGTATGGTGTGAATTCATTTTCATTGTTTTCTAGGAGTCTTTAATTTCTTATTCATTTCTTCCTTGACCCAGTGGTAATTTAGTTGAAAGTTGTTTAGTTTCCACAAGTTTGTAGGCTTTCTGTAGTTTTTGTTTTTGTTGAACTCCAAGTTTAATCCATGATGCTCTGATAAGATACAGGGGTTTATTTTGATATTTTTCCTATGTGTTAAGACTTTCTTTGTAATGGAGTATGTGGTCAATTTTGGAGAAGGTTTCATGAGGTGATGTGAAGAAGGTATATTCTTTGGTGTTTGGGTAAAATGTTCTGTAGATAGCTGTTATGTCCACTTAAATCATAACATCTGTTCAGTTATTTCTCTGTATAGTTTCTCTGTTGACTACCTGTCCATTGGTCAGAGTTGGGTACTGAAATCTGCCACTATTAATGTCTGGGGTTGGATATGTGTGATGTAAGCTTTAGTAGTATTTCTTTTACAAATGTTCGTGCCCTTGTATTTGTGGTATAGATATTCAGAATTGAAATAAACTCTTGGTGGATTTATTCTTTTATGAATATGTAACCTTTTTATCCACAAGACAAATTTGGCCATACTCCATCTACTTCCATTTTCATCCCTTTCTTGTTCACATTCTCCTTTCCATTAGCTTCTTCCTCCCCCCTATTCCTCCCATGAAATAGGAGTGGGTAGAAAATATTTGTGAATCTTGGAGAATTTATGAGGAGAATTGGGGTGGTGGTGGTAACTGATGAAAATTAATTGTACAAAATTCTCAAAAATTTAATTCACATCATTTTGTAAAAAGGGACATGTCTAGCTTCATTCTTCTGGATGTGGATATCATTTTTTTTTGTTTTCTTTTTCTCTTTTAAAGAAACATTTGGTTGACATGCTGTGTTTTCTCAGATGTATGTTTTTGCCATCTTTGTCCAAGATCAGGTGGTTGAAGCTATATGGGTTTACTTTTGGCTCCTCTATATTAATTACCTGATGATCTATGCATCTTTTCCCACATCAGAACCATGATGTTTTTACTACAATGACTTCACAATGGGACATGAAGTCAAACATTTTGTTGCTTTGGATTACCTTGGCTTCTTGGGTATTTTGAGCTTCTCTATGGATAGTAAGTTATTTTTTTTTATATGTGAAGACTATCGTTTGAGTTTTTATAGGAATTTTTCTGAATCTGCAGTGCTTTTATAGTTTTATAGCAATTTCACAATATTCATTCTGCCAGTCTGTGAGCATGGAAGGTCTCTCCATGTTCCAGAATGGAGATTTTTTTTCATTAGTTTTTTTATTCAGTATTTTACAGTTTCCATTACACAGGTATTTCATTTAACAACAACAACAACAACAACAACAAACATTGGCTAGGTTTATTTCTAAGAACTGTTCTCCAACTTTCCCCTGTCCATTTCCCAGAGACCTAGTAGATATCTCTGTATGCAATCTGACATCTTCTATATAAGAAGACCACATTTTAATAGTAAACTAACTTCAATATATTTTTTGCCATATATTGATATTTAACATGCTATGTAAGAATGTTATAAAAGATATTGGAACATTGGTAGCCAGATTCATATTAGAACAAGAGTAACATTTATTGGCAATATTTATCTATACTTTTGAATGGTTCCATATTTGAATCGTTTACTATACCATTGATATTTTATAAATATTATATGAAAGCCAAATAATATAAGTGCTTTCAAAATTCACAGGCCTTTATTCTTGACAATTTAAAATCAGGCTATGTTCTATTTTTCTCTGGAATAAAAATAAGGACTAAAATTGTTTCTTTAAGGCTGATCTTTACCAGTGGCTTGAATATCTTTTAAAACAAAAGCTGCACAGATGTATGTGGGTATTCACTGGGGAAATGAGAGGCAGCTGCCAAGGTCAGTGTACAGTGCAAGTAGCAATACATGTGTGCAAGGCACATAGTCATATTTTCACGTGTAGTCTACTAAATTAACTGTGAAATAACACTACTTGATTTGGTAATCACTAATTCATTACCAGTTCAGGCTGCAATGTATCTTAACAGATTTGCAAAAGGTCATAACTAAAGAGTTTCAATATAATCTTAGCTACTTAATATTTTTTACTAGATGAATATTTTAAAGTAGAATATTGCCCCAGCAGAGGACAAAACAGTAACTTCTGAACCCTGCTGGTACCCTTCCTCTTGTTTTGATATTTCCTGGTAAGTGTGATCCATATTTTTGTGTTCCTGATGCTCAGTATCTTAGAAATCCTTTGGAGACCTTGTGTTTCTCTCTTGGAAATTAGTTCAAATAGAGATCCAATTAGTTCAAATTTTGTAGAGTCATGGGACAGAGCAGGTAGGAGACCCCTCAGAAAATAAGCCTTCTCAAGTTTCCCCATCCAGAGACATGCCCTAAGAAGACATAGCAAAGTTATTTTTAACACTGTTTTTTAATTCATTTTTAAAGTTTCTGTAGCTCTTTTGCCTCTCTTTATACTTTTTTTTTTTTACTAATCACCACTTAGTGGACACTCTAATAGGTGTACAAGGTTTCAGAAGGCACACTTTTTCCTTTTATGAGCCTCTTAATATGGACAGGATGGACACAAGCCAAATGATGATGTGAAATCCATATAATAAGTGATGGTAAAGAGCTCCAGGTGTCATAAAATAGAAGAGGGAGGGGTCAGGGCACTGTAGAAAAGGAGGGGATGGTTTCAGAGGGAGACCTAGGGTTTTTGCAGGCCAAGAAGATGAAGATAAAGATACAATAACAAAACATTCGCTGTAGGTCACCCCAAGCGCGAAGGCATAGAATGAGGAATGACTTGGAGATTTAGGGAAGTACAGAGAACACTTTCTGTTGTCTACTTCTGGATAGTATGTGCTTCTTAAAGATGTTTAGTTACAAAGGAAAACTCATTACAACCCATCTAGGATCCTAATATATATGATATATTTAGAGAGTTTTTTCTTTTTTTTTTTTTTTTTACCACGGAATATATAAAGTAACACAGCATTCTATTTGAGGGTAGCATATTGGAAAGACTGTGAAACTTTAGATTTATACATTTCCCCACTCTGCTTCCCACTGACTATGTGACCAAAGGCTAGTTATTTAATCTTTCTGATCTGGAGATGCTTTATCCCAGAAACAGAAAACAAACAAACAAACAAACAAACAAAAACAACTGATTACATTTTAGAGTTTCCTTGAGGACTAAATAACATATTATTTTAAAGATTCTTAGAATAGCATGAGTCCCAAATATTGCTTTCAGTCGATGGCTGCCACTGTTAGGATGGTTGATAGCAGAAGCAACCATGCAAGCTTCCAAAGGAGGGGAAGCAACCAACAGTTCTTCCAACCTATGGTGTCCACTAACCCCAACAACTACCAACATGACACAATAACACTAAAAATGCTGTAATGGCACCCATATATTGGCAGTAACAGCAGCTCTCTAATTGGACATAAGACCTGCCAATCAAAAGGGAAATTGTGCCTAGTACTATAATCCTACCCAACTTCTCAGGACTGGTGAAGTTATGGATCTTGCAGGAGAGCCTACAATCACCATGTTACTAAGCCTGCATTTCTCTAACTATATTTTAAATATTTGTTCACTACCTGTTACCCACAGGTAAGCATAGACTTCACATCGTATTAAGGAAACTTCTCTTTGCAACAGCCAGGGACCATTACAAAAACCGACAACCAATCAAAATGTAGAAATGTGAAGTTTAGTCCCAATAAATACACCTGTAAAGACAATTTCCGTACTTGAGGAAGAGGGGGCAGAAAGAATGAAAGAGCCAGAGGTACCAAGAGTTTGCTGTGGGATTATTTTTTTCTTAGTAATTTAAAAAGATACAGCCATAAAGTCTCACAAACATGAATGCCGAAAAATGAGCTGAACAAAGATTAACAACAGACATGTCAAAGTGCAAGCCCATTAGGCCTCAATAATGCACAAAGAAGTACAGGCAACTAAGGAAGAAAACAGCTTCCCCAGGGAAGAGCACACCAATTGTTTTTCTGATACCAAATTGTCAGCTCTGAAAACATATATCCAAGTAACATTATGCAGACTGAGCAGGGTATATTTAGGAAATTAAATGTATGTGCACATACTTGTACTCATGTGACAACATTAAATGAAAAAATGGCATGTATTTGAAAGAGAGCAAGGAGGGGTTTATGGGAAGGTTTGAAGGGAGAAAGGGGAGGGGGAAATATGATTAAATTATGATCACAAATAAATGATAAAAAACAAAAACTGGCAGTTTTTATTTTAAATAACAATTAAATTTTATTGTTTTTAATTGTATTTAACGAGTCATACAACACTGAAAACTTAATCGATTGTTTGTGAACTACTTAGGCTTCTGTATTAAGCTTCTTGACAGAACTCTTCCTTTTTCAATAGGCAAAATCTCAAATCTTATCCAATGTGTTAGATGTTGCTCATCAGTTTATAAAGGAAGTAAATCCACCTAATGAAGGGAATACTTCTCCAGAAGCAACCAGTAAAAGTCAGAAGAAACCCAAAGCCCTACTTCTTCAGGAGAACAGCTCTGAGGTAAATGGAGGAGGACAAAGTAGGATGTTTCCTGTCCTACATATGGTGACTGATTCATGCCCCCCTTACCAGGGATGCATGCACATTTGGGAACATTACTTTACAATGTTGTTAGTATTTAAATTTTTTTTAGTAATTGGATATATTTAGACTATAAAAATAATTTTAAGGTTACCTACAGTCCATTGAAAATTGTTCTTTTAAATGAAAAAATTGAAAATATGACCTTCTGACTATTTGACCATGTCAGGAATTGTATGAATGTTGGATAAAAACATTAAAATAAAACCTAGAATACAATATAACAGTTTTGTATTCGTTAGAATTTCCACATGCTCAAAATACAAAGGCCTTAGACAATTTCAGCAGTGTATAAAGGGAGATGAATACCAAAATCTGACAGTTATTTTCCTTCCTTTCTTTCTTCCTCCCTCCCTCTCTCCCTCCTCCCCTCCCTCCTTCTCTCCCTCCCCACCTCTCTCTCTTTCTTTGTGTGGTATTGTTTCTATGATTTCTTTCTCAGTCTGCTTGTGACTCGCATATTGGAAACAATAGATTTTCACGTGTCAATGTTTTTTTTTAAACCTAACTACTTTGCTAAAAGTGCTTGTCAGTTGTAGAATTTTCATGGGGCAATTTTTAGGAGCATTCATCTATAAAATCATATGACACTGGGCAGGAGGGGTTCAGGCCTCTAATCCTAGCACTGGAGAGGCCGAGGCAGGCAGTCTCTGAGTTTGAGGTCAGCCTGGTCTACAGAGTGACTTCCAAAAGAGCTCAAGTACTATACTGAGTGGGTATAGAGAGAGTGGACAACCTTTCTTTATCCTGATTTTAGGGGAAATGCTTCAAGTTTTCTCTGCTTAGGTTGATGTTGGTTTTGATTTACTGTAATTTGCCTTTATTATGCTGAGGTATGTTGCTTTTATTCCTAGTCTCTCCAAGTTTATTATCATGAAGGGTATAGGATTTTGTCAGTTTTTCTGAATCTAATGAGATGATCAGGTCTTTATATTTCAGTCCGTTAATGTAGTGGATTACACTGATCAGTTTACATAGGTTGAACCATTCCTGCATCCCTGAAATGAAGCCTACTTAATCATGGTGAATGATGATTTTTTATGGGTTCTTGCATTAAGTTCTTAAGTATTTTATTGAGAATTTTTGCATCTATGTTCATAAGGGAAATTGATCTGTGATTATCTTTCTTTGTTGGGTCTTTATATAGTTCAGGTATCAGAGTAGTTGTGGCCTCATCAAAGGTATTTGACAGTTTTCTCTTTGTTTCTATGTTGTGAAATAATTTGAGGAGTATTAGCTTTAATTGCGCTTTGAAAGTCTGATAGAACTCCATTCTGAATCTGTTTGGCTCTGGGCTTCTTGTGGTTAGGGAAACTTTTAGTTATTTCTTCTATTTCACTGTGGGTGGGTTGGTTCTGTTTAAATCACTTATTTGGTCTTGATTTGACATTGTAAGGTTATATATATCAATAAAATTATCATTTCTTTTAGAATTTCTAATTTGGTGAAGTACAGGTTTTTAAAGTACATCCTTATCTCTGGATTTCCTCAGAGAAATCAGTTGTTATGTCTTCCTTTTCATCACTAATTTTATTAATTTGAATCTTCTCTCTATCTTGTGGTTAATTTTGCTAAAAGTTCATCAGTGTTATCTATTTTCTCAAAGACTCAGTACTTTGGGTTGCATTGTTTCCTATACATTGATGAATTTGATTTATCATTCTATTCGCTTGTTAGGGGAACTTACTATGTTTCACCCATGTGCTATATTTTGCACTTAATGAAAAGACAAAAAACAATATAACCAGCCAATTTATTATAATTGTGTTTGTACAATAAGCTGACTAAAAAATAAGTGATAGGAAAGAAAAAATAAATGAAGAGAGTACAGAGGAGTAAGGAATCTTCACCATCCCCAGGAGAGAACTATCCAGGGAGGTGGTACTTGAGAAATGAATAGCCTGAAGAAAGTGGCTGTGTAAAGCTATGGGAAGGAATCACAACTTGTACAGGGCCCAGAAGAGGAAATTTACCTGATGCTTCTCACTTCTCCAAGATTGTGAGTGTCACTCGAATAGGTGAATGACACAGGAGATGACAGTACAGGGCAAGGAAGGAGAAAGTATTTCAGCCACTTTTAGGTCCCAAGAGAAACTTTGAATTTCAAAGAATCAAAAGGTTTTGAACACACTGAGAGCAAGGGGTATATATTTAAACACATAAAATCACACACACACACACACACACACACACACACACACACACACACACACATTTATACTCATATTAACTGGTATAATCCCATAACTTAGGAGACCACAGTAGGGATATCTCAAATTTGAGACCAGTCTTGGCTACGTAGAGAATTAGACCCTACCTCCTAAACACAAAATCTCCTCTAATGTGAGAAGGTTATAAGGAGCAGAGGATCAGGGAAGGAGAAAGGATGGATAATGTGTACATAGCTGGAATAGCTGTAGAGAGGGAAGATCAGGGAGAGACAAAATGGAGAAAGTCATCAGCTTTATAGGCTCTTACATTATTAACTTCTGAGCAGACAATTCATAACTACCAATGGGGTTTTAAAGAGTGTTACACAAAATCATATTATTCTGAATTAAATATTTCTGCTTTTCATGTCTTTCTTATAAGATACAGGAAATTTAATAAACACTCTTTGCTACATTTTTAACTGCTTAGGTAGAAACTAGAACAGCAGAAGGAGGAGAAGGTGCAAATTCAAAATACAATCCCTTGTATGAAACGACTTTTGATGAAGAAGCATCTGCCCAGTCCTTCCGGGAAGCCTTAAATCAGTGGAGAGCTGGACATCAGGAGGAAAACACACAACAGAACTCACATGCAACAAAACCAGGTACGGGCATTGTTCAAACCTTCATATAACAAAATAAAGCAATCTTCATTTCTTTCCACTCCTGGCAACACAAATGCGATGCTTAAAAATAATAAAGAGCAATTTGCTACAGCTTCTCAAGGGAGCTTTGTGTACACACTAGGCAGTCAGTGGTGAGTTATTTAATATTTATAAAGCATGGATTGACCATGGGGGATGTTTACTTTGGTTTTCTATGTAAATTCAAATCATCAGTTGAATGGAGCATTGAAGTCTCAGCTTTTCTTTTCCTGAAAGGAAGCAGTTGTTAGAAAATAATTCTATTTTAGATCTATTGTTGCAATATATCAAGTTGGGGAGTCTGTGTGGCAGGAAAGCAAGTGACTCTTTATATGTATTAGATCAGGAACATTTCTTTTCAGTGTGACCAAATCTCTGGCAGAGTCACCTAAAGGAGGGACAATTTATTTTGCCTCGCAGTTGGAGATGATACAGCCCATCAAGATACGGGAGTACAGCAGCAGGTGGCTTCAATGCCAGAGGCGCAGACGGTGGGGCTCCTTATTTCTTACATCACTGTAGAACAGATAGCAGAGATAGGACAGGAAGTAGAATGCCTACACACCTCACAGTATGCATCCAGGAGATTTACTTCTCCCAGTGAGCCCTCAACCTCCACAAATTGCACAGCCTCTAAAACAGCACTGTGAACTGAGAGGGTGGGAGAGCAAATGTTTCCATGTAAACCATGAAACCATAACTTACAGGTTGAATATATGATCACAGTGATCTTCATAGGAAGGATAGATTTTTGTTTGCAATGTTTTTTCTTTCCTTAAAAAAAATCTCTTCACATATTTTTTTTAGTTTGAATTTTTGGTTCACATATAAAATAATGGGTTTCTTTATGACATATTCATGCAAACTGTATCAGCTAGTTTTTGTGTCAATTTGACACAAGCTAGAATCATTTGAGAGGAACGAACCTCAGTTGAGCAAATACCTCCATTACAATTGGACTGTAAGGCAAGTCTATAGGGCATTTTCTTAATTAGTTATTTGTAGTCAGAAGTTTTCCTGTGTCCTACACATCCCACAGCTGCTCAGACAAGTAAACACACAGAGGCTTATATAATTTAAAACTGGATGGCCTACGGCTCAAGCTTCTTGCTAGCTAGCTCTTATATCTTAAATTAACCAATTTCTATTAATGTATGTTTTGCCACTTGTTCTGTGGCTTTACTGGTCTGCTGGCATGTTATTCCTTGGGATGCAGGCTGAGGTCTCTCGGCCTCTCCTTTCCCTTCCTGTCTGTCTGCTTGGATTTCCTGCCTGCCTCTAAGCTGCTTTTCTAAGCCATTGCAGCTTTATTTATCAACCAATCAGAGCAACACATATTCACAGCACACAGAAAGACATCCCACTGCAATTATTGAAGTAGGAAGGCCCAGCCTATTGTGAGTGGGGGCATTCTAAGCTGGTTCTATAAGACAGAAGGCTGAGCATGCCATAAGGAGCAAATGTCTAAGTAGCATTTATTCATGGTCTCTTACATCAATCAGCTCCTGCTTCCTTCAGTGCTGAACAGTAGAGTGTAAGTGAAATAAACACTTTCTTTTGTAGATTGTTTTTGGTTCATCACAGCAATAATAACCCTCAAATAGCCTCTGTATGAGTAGACTATAACCAGGATATGCAATGAAGAAAAGACAATGCCCAGAACTTCAAAAACACACTTAAATTCCAACTTTCAGTGTTTTGTTGTTTTTTTAAGTTTTTTTTTTTCATTTTTCAAAGCAACCACAGGTCCCCTCTCTCCCCTCCTCCCACTACTCCCTATCTCCCCGTGACATTACCACTCACCTGCTCCTAAGAGAGGGTAAGACCTCCCATTGGGAGTCAACAAATTCAGGCATATCAAGTTGAGGCAGGACCATCTGTGAGTTTATAATGGTTTATTACACATGAAGTGAAAGATGCAGCCTTGTTTTAATTCTTTTTCATATTAGGTGCATTGGAAATATTTCCTTATTTATTTATACATAAATATTGAAAGAATCTTGCATTTTAAATTTTAGAGGAGATATAAAAGTTGATACATTAGTACACAAGTACAATATCCTAGAATTTCCTTGCTTCCCCAAGCTTTTATATACTAAAATGAAATGCCTGAAGCAACTATGCTTTGGGGGATTATGAACAATGTTGTAATCAATGCTTATTAAGTGCAAAAGATAATATCCAGAGGATGACTAAACCTCCATGAAGCTATCATACTAACCACAATTGCTTTTTAGATTCTGTATCTTTACTAGAAAAAGTACCACACTATTTGTAACTGAAGAGAAGCCCTCGACCTACTTCAGAGCTTCATAAACAATTGCTGTAAGCAAGTTCAGCTAGTCAACCTTCTGAATAGAGTATGAAAAAGGTTATTGACAACAGACAAATCAATGAGTGTACTGTGTTGCCATAAAACCTTGTATTTATGAACACAGAAATTCGGTCATAGGAAAATGATAGGTCAGATTTGGACTACAAGCCCTAATGTGTTGATCCTTGACAAACTAAATATTTTTTTTCTATTTATGTTACTAGATATAATCAGAAATAGTGCTATAGTTCGTGTGGCAGGTTTAGGATGTCCCTTCACCATCTAATTCCCGACTTACATTATCTCTCTCAGGCTTTGTAGCATTGTGTAATCTGCAACATGTTTGTTTCCTTGAATCTACTCATAGACATTGATTGGCCATTAGATGGATGTTATGAGGCTAATTCATTGATCAGGAAACAACTATCTCACAGTAAGAATGGTTATATTGAACATTTTTTTTTATCATCAAAGCTGCAGTGGTTTATCTTCATGGGAAAATACACATTTCAGATACATATTTGCTTATGCTGCCTACAGTGAATGTTCTTAGTAAGCCTTATTTATTACCATGATATCCTCAGGAAACTGACTCATATCAAGGCAGTTGTACTATGATAAAAGTGCAGCTACATCCATGAAATTTAGTGTTCTTACCATGTGCCATATTTCATGTATGAAAATGTGTATGATTGTAATTCACCTATTTTCAGTGTTTTCTAATCTCCTATTATGTGAATATGCCACCATTTCTCAATTTAAATGTTATAGTTTGGGTCATTTCTCATACTGACCATGCTAAACAATACTACTATACATTTTCTTGTACAGGTCTTGCAGTTCAACCTTCACATATTTCCAGGGATGCTCATACTTGAGAGTAGAACAGCTGTCTTATTAGGAATGTATGTCCTCCACTAAACTAGATAAACCCAAACTAGTCAGGAAAGTACTTCCAACAATTTGCACTCCATCTGAAGTGTGTAAGAGTTTTTGTTGTTCCCCTTATCACCAACACTTAATATTTTCAGATACTTACAATTTTGCTTAAAAAAAAGAGATAAATCCTATGCTTAATATATATATATATATATATATATATATATATACCTTTTATTACAAATTACATTAAATATCTTTGTGTTTAGTAGCCATTTAGTGCATCAATGTCAATTTGCTTTGAATTCCCAGGTTCTCCAGCTTTTTTGGTCACTGATTTCTCCCTTAATTCATTCTAGTCATCCACAGACTCATTTAGGTGCTTTTGTCAGCCCTGGGCTTTTATGTGAGCCCATGCTCTTTTCTCTCTGACGTCTTTTGCTGAGATGATCCCATTGGCTTGTTTGGGTTCCTCGCCTCTGTTCTCCTGAGTGATCCTCAAATGCTTCAGGCATCCATTTACTTTTAAGACTTTTGTGCTGTGGAGTAAAGAAAATGCCCATGATCTCAATGAGGTGGATGTTAGACAAATTCCTAGAAAAAGTTAGCCGGGCGGTGGTGGTGCACGCCTTTAATCCCAGCACTTGGGAGGCAGAGGCAGGAGGATCTCTGCGAGTTCGAGGCCAGCCTGGTCTACAGAGTGATTTCCAGGAAAGGTGCAAAGCTACACAGAGAAACCCTGTCTTGAAAAACAAAAAAAATAAATAAATAAATAAATAAAAAGAAAAAAAATTCCTAGAAAAGGAGGCTGCGGAGCCAGAAACAAGGCAAACAAAGCCCAAAAGACAACTCACAAGGCCTTGAGGAAGCCACACCTCATAATTCTGCGGGATGTCTTTGAATTGACTAGCGTGCATGATTTTAAACGAGGTACCTTGCTGAATGCACACTTAGCTAAAGATTCTTCTTCCAGCAATCATGTGTTTGCCATTAGCCGTCCATGATCTTGTGCTGTAGAGTCCTAAGGAGGCGGAGCTTTCTGCCCTTGTACTTGACCTCTTAACTGATAAACCAAGCCAGGACTCGCCTTTATTTCTTAAGATTGGGCCACAGGTGCATGGAGAAAAGTGAGCCACAGGGTACTTCCTGTAGGCCCCCTGTTCTTTTTACAGATTTGGGAGTCATTTCTCAAGCACAGAGGTTCTTCTCTCTGAGAACCAACCTACATGCTCCCTTCCTTCTTTCTCCCTTCAGCTTTTCTGTCTCAATTCTTTATGCGCGCGCGCGCACACACACACACACACACACACACACACACACACACACACACACACACACATCTCTCCCGCCCCTTCCATCATATGTTCATATTCACAATTCAGATTCTTAATTCTTTATTCTTTTGCTTCTTTCATTTATTAGATTCTAGTTGTTACTGTCAAGATTTCTTCTCCCCTTTCCTCAATACTACAATACTCTTGGGAGGATAGAAGTTGAGTAACTCTATTTTTTTCACTTGTTCCGCTGCTGTCATTTGCCTGTTTCTGGACGCTAACCGCTAGAGTCTGCACTGTGAGGTTAGGACCAGATAAGTGTTAGACTCCCTAAAAATTTTGTTTTTAATCTTTAACAACTTTTCTTATTTTTTTTTCTAGCATTTTATCCTGGGGGATGTTGCAAGTTAGAGAGGGAGGCTGTATCTGGAGGTCGGAAAGGCTGACAATCCCAGAATTACTGGCTCTCTTCCCTCAGAAGCTTCATCGCTTTCAAATAGCTCTGAGTAATTTTGTAGTTTGTGGTACTTTAGAAATAATAGCATTTGGGTGCACATGACTTCAAAGGCAAAAGTTTGTGGGAATCAATATTCTCTTCATTCTGAATAAGATATAATTCATTATGAATTATTTATTTTCTATTACCCATAATGTGTAAATATGAGAAGTGGCTGTAATATACACCTTAGTTTGTACATGCGTCTGCTGTGCGTATGGAGTGTACAGTGACTGTATTTCCCTTCCTCATTTAAGAAAATGTTGCTTTTAGAAAGCTTTAGATTTATAAGATCCCTTTGTTTCAAGAAATTCTGAAGATATTGTCCAAAGAATCACTTATTCCAATGTTTTAGAGACCCTTTAGCATTATTTACATCTTAGACTTCATATTATATTACTATCATTGTTCATAACATAGCAATAACAAATACAATTTTAAGGACAGGTACCAGAGAACTGATCGCCACAAACAATTGGCTATCTAAAGAAAAGATATGATAATTCATAGGCATGGCTACATTAATTATGTGCAGTGTTTATTTTTATAGACTCAGTGGAAGAATGTGAAGTACAAACTAATTTGAAAATTTGGACAGAACCAATAAATATTGAATTTACAGAAGACAGTCTGTCCTACATGGAAAAATTATGGCTTAAAAAACACAGAAGGTATGTAGTGAAATTTTAATATTATTCTTTGTTAAGAAGTAGAAGTTATTTGTGTTTCTTGTTTGGGGGACATGGCTTTATGAAGTAATTTTGTATGTATATTTCTTATTTGTATAGCTAATTTTAAAGCAATTTTAGTTCCTATGAAGTTCTGACTATATTAGCAACAATCTTATTTACTTATATTTATATATAAACACATATATGTTATTTTTATTCTAGAAATATAAAAAAGATAGATATCTGGAGAAAGTCACAAATAAAAGTATGGGATTTAAGAATAATAACAAAAGCATGCCATAAATAAAAATTTACTTTAAAAAGACTTCCTGGCTTGGGGTGGTGGTGGTGGTGGCACACACCTTTAATCCCAGCACTTGGGAGGCAGAGGCAGGCAGATCTCTGTGAGTTTGAGGTCAGCCTGGTCTACAGAGTGAGTTCCAGGACATCCAGGGCTACACAAAGAAATCCTATCCAAAAAAACCAAAACCAACCCCCCTCAAAAAAGAAAGAGACTTTGCTGTGTTTTAGCTTAGATATTTGAGGCTTTATTTTATAAATCAATTAAATTAAAACAGATCTTTTAAATTAATTTAAAATAAATTAGATCTTTTATTTTATACTTTTATTAATTCTAATCAGTTTATTTTATTCAAAGACCTATGGTCAGATACATGTTTTTTTAATTTGTTGAAAAAATCAAACTTGCATATGAAATCAACATTATAGACAAGTAGATGCTATCATCATTGGAATTTTAACAACATATATGCCCAGAGAGTCTCTGGCCTGGCATGGCGGAAGCTCAGTTTGTTACACAGTAGAGATGCCCACACTTCACTGTTTCTTCCAGTTTTCTAAGGGTTGGGGAAAACATTCTTTAGTAGGTCTGATGCTAAGCACAGAGATTCCACAGTTCTGATGCCTCCTGAGTGACATGGGTGCTACGATGGTGGCCTTGATTCACATGTTGAAGGACAAAATGCTGGAGAAACTCTCTAGAGTGCAGGTGAGAAGTGAACACAAGGCCTGCACTTCATCACAGGAAAAAAAAAAAAAAAACCTGTTTTGTGAGGTAGCCCATTTCACCTTTGGCACATTCTCAAACATGTTTCTTGTGAGTGGTATTCTGACTCCAACTACTTTCTAAGCCTATTCATAGTTCCACTTCGCTGTTCCATTGATGATTTTCTAGTTCTTTTGCATTTAAAAAGTGAGTTCTTCAAGGAAAGGTGTTATTTTTCTTCTTTTCTGCTTGAGTAGTGCTGACCCAATGAGTGTGTGTGTTGGGTGGGGTGGCAGGGCATCTGCAGGAGCATGGTCAGACTACCAGGAACCACATCCCTAAAGAAAACCAACTTGGCCCCTGCCTAGCAGCTATCAACTTTCAATAGTTGATCAGCTAGGCTAGGGATACTATGCCCCTTTCCCATGCCATCTTCTCCCCCAACTGGCATGTTGACTGGTTTAATCTTATACAAGTCTTATGTAAACAACCACAGCTACCCAGTATTTATGTATATAATGGCCCTGTCATCCTTAGAATACATTGTTTCTTCCCAGTTTCCCCTAAATTCTGTCTCCTCTTCCACGTCGTTCTCTTAGCCTTGGGAAGAGGGACCATATGGTAGATATCCCACTTATGGCTAAGCACTCCACAGGCACTTAGTCTCTACACTTCAGCCATTGCTGAGTCTTTTTTCACTGCTGCTCGCTGTACAAAGGAGCTTTTCTGATAAAGAGTGAGGGCTGAAGTAATCTATGGATAAAGAGATCTGTGTTTAGAAAATTGCTGAATACAATAATAGCAGTGGGTACTTTCCTAGGGCAAGGAACTCAGCCATACGAACTTGGACAGATTTATTTCTTATTTAAATGGATTTATATTAATAATATTGAGTATGAGGGATAGATAAGTAAGTCTCTGATATGTCTGTGCTATAACCATGAGAACCTAAATTTAATCTGCAGAAACCACATAAAAAAAGCTGTGCATAGTAGAAAATGTTAGTAATCCTAGTGCCATGGAGGCAGAGACAAGCAGATTATTGGAATTCATTGGCTACACAGGCTAGCCTCTACTGGGCAAGGTCAGGAAGAGGCAAGGTCAAGGCCAGTGAGAGACTATGTACAAAAAAATGGAGGGCAGTTGAAAAATGACACCAATGAATGGCTGGCCTTCTCACACCCAACACACATGAGCAAACAGAAGCATATACTTGTTTATACAAAAGACACACAATCACACACACAGGCATGAACAAAACTATTTCAATAAAAATTTGCTACATTTTATAGAAGAGAAGATGAAGAGGTGACTACTGTTATAAAAGGTGTTTTCATCTTTATTTATATGACATGGTTCTGTGGGGGGTGCCAGGGTTGGAATAGCAGAAGTCAGGACTTAGTGTACAGTTAACTAGTTGCTTATTCATGGGCAAAGCACTTAAATTTTGTTGGCATAAGTTTTCTCAAGTATATTAATACTGAATTTAGAATAACTAATCTGTAGTGCTCGTACACTTTAACCTTGCTATCTGGATTCTGTAAGTCTTTAATTATAGCATGAAGATGAAAACACTGTTTCATGAAGTACTTGGATAACAGTTTATTTGCACTTATGTGTATGGAGAGGGAGTTATTAGTACAATAGAGGAATATCCAGTTATGAAACAGTTTCTGGTGATGAAATGCCAGTTTCCCTTTGATCTTTTATTTAATATTCTTTTTATTAATTAAAAATATTTATTTAATTTACATCCTGACTGCAGTTTCCCTTCCCTCTTCTGTTTCCATTCCCTTCCCCACCTCTCATCTTTCCTCCTCCACCCCTCAAATCCACTGCTTCTCTGCTCAGAAAGGGGCAGTCCTCCCATGGATATTAGCAATACATGGCATCATCAAGGTGAAGTAGGACTAAGTACCTCCCCTTGTTTTAAGACTGGGCAAGTCAACCCAGTATGAGGAATAGGTTCCTAAGAGCCAGCCAAAGCATTAGTTAGCCCATGCTCCCACTGTTAGGAGTCCCACAAAAAGACCAAGCTACTAAACTATCACATATATGCACAGGGCCTAGGTTTGTTCTATATGTGTTCCTTGGTTGTTCGTTCAAACTCTGCAAATTTCTATAAGCCCAGTTAGTTGTGTCTGTGGATTTTTTTTTTTATTTTTATTTTCTTGGCTCCTCTGGCTCATATAATCCTTCCTCCCCCTCTTCAGTAGGATACTCTGAGATCAAGTCCTAGGAAGGCTCCATGGTTGTGGGTTCAGTCTCTGTGAGCTCCTATGGCCCAGGTTAGTTGATTTTGTAGATTTCCTTATGATGTTCTTGACCCCTCTGGCTCGTACAATCCTTTCTTCAGCAGGATTACCTGAGCCTAATGTTTGGATGTGAGTCTCTGTATCTGTTTCCATAAGTTACTAGATGAAGCCTCTCTGATGACAACTGGGGTAATAACCAATCTATGAATATAGCAGAATGTTGTTAGGCATCATTACATTGACATTTTTCTTTTTTGCCAGTAATGTTTGGTTCTACCCTAGGGACATTACATTGATACTTTTTTCTAACCATGTTTGGTTCTACCCCAGGTCTCTGGTCTATACAGCCTCTGGATATTGGAACCCTAGGCATTGTCAGGGGTGGGCTCACTCTTATGGCCAAGGGCCATAAGACACTCCCATAATCTCTGTGGCATTCTTACCCTAGTATATCCCATAGGCAGGACAGACTATAGATCTAAGGTTATGTAGCTTTGTTTGTGTCCTAATCCCTCCACTGGAAATCTTGCCTGGTCACAGGAGATGGCTAGTTCAGGCTATGTATCTGTCATTGCTAGAAAAAATTAACTGGGAATCCTTGTAGATTCCTGGGAGTTTCCCTTTCAGCAGGTTTCTCCCCGACCGTGAAATGCCCATCCATTTTCCAGGCATCTCTTTCAACACTCTCCCCCTTAGTCCATCCCCAACCTGATCCCTCATGTTCCCATTCACACCCACTTCCAGTCCACTCAGATCTCCCTGGGAAGGGGACATAGTGTCTGTGCTACTATTGTTCTATTCAGGAAGTTGTCTCCTGTGCCAATGTGTTCAAGGCTATTTCCCAGTGTGTCTTCTATCAGGTTCTGTATAGATAGATTTATGTTGAGGTCTTTGATCCAGTTGGACTTGAGTTCTGTGCAGAGTGATAAATGTGGATCTATTTGCATTCTTCTATAGGCTGGCATACAGTTATTAGTTATTATAACACCATTTGTTAAAGATGCTTTCTTTTTTTCCATTGTATAATTTTGGCTTCTTTGTCAAAAATTAAGTTACCTCAATACAATTTAAATTATTTGTGGCTAATATGAAGGATGTTGTTTCCTTGATTTCTCTCTTAGTCCATTTATCATTTGTATATAAGAGGGCTACTGATTCTATTTTTTTAGTTAATCTTGTTTCCAGCCACTTCACTAAACATGTTTATCAGATGCAGGAGTGCCCTGTAGAATTTTTGAGGTTGCTTATATATACTGTCATCTGCAAATATAAATCACTTAGTTAAACTCTGGGTGGGAGGATTCTCTAAAAGAATTTTTTTAAATGTAAAGCTCAGTAATACAAATATTTTGTAGTTATGTGATTTGTACAATATAGTAGAAAATACAGCTGGTATATTTACAAGTAGGAAACTAGGTACTGCCAAATGAGAACATGGCTAGGAATGTGTGCTTGAGAAGGCAAGGTTCTCAGATTCCTGCTCTTGCTGTGTTCTCTGCCTAAGTGACTTAGAACAAGTAAGTTCTCAACTTTTCCCACTCAATTTTATCTTTAAAAATGAGCATCATAGTAAAGATTATTTAATCAAATGCTGAATATTATTGAATGTACCAAAAGTACTTAGAACAAAAATGGGCAAATTATAACTTTGTGTTGACATTAACAATATCCGTAAGCCAGTCTTGTCTTCTACATGGCCAACGTGTGAGCTTGCATGATCTGTGAGAGTGGTGTAGCTATTTACATTTGACTCAAAAATGAATTTTTCCTCATAAATCTCTGAACATTCTTTAGAATTAAATACACACCCTTGAACTCTGAGAATTCTTAAGTTTCATGTTTTCCCTTTGAAGCAGGCTGCAACCATCCTAGATGTTAATTAGGTAATAGATGCCACAGCCATTACATCTCACATTCTTATAATGGGACCCCATTTTACCACTCTCCTAGTGTGCTAAAAGTTTAGATAAATGCCCCCAGGATGCCTTAGAATTCATTAACATAGTGCCACGTGTGAGATAAAACATACACTTGCAAATTAGCTTTGTCAACAGCATGGCATGTTTTTCGGACTGAGTGAATATTGACTTGTATGGTGACTTTGGTCTTCATCTTAAACAAAACACAGTATGCAACTGAAAAACTCCTTGGGTAATGTGGAATTGATTTAACAACTTTCATTAAATTGGAATTTTGTTAATCATAATAATCTGTGAATTAATGCTATGTTCAAAATCTCATCATTAATTTTGAATTCTCACTTGACAAGTAAATATCTAGTCTGGGGAAGTTGCATTGATGTTTTTCTCTTTTAATTGCATCTTTGTTGGTTTGCAGAACTCCACAAGAGCAACTTAGGAACATACTACCAAATACATTCCCACATCCTCGTGAATCTACTATGGAGGAACAGAGCTCCCCGGAAGAAAATGATGCAGATAGTGATGGTCAGTTGAGCTTCAACTAGATCTTTTAACACTTATTTTTAAAATTATATAAATAAGCAGTTATTAACAGATGCTTTTAGCTTTTGTCCATGTATCATTCTGATCTCGAGTATGAAAATCCATCTCTATTTATTTATTATAGTACCATGCTTTAACTTAAATAGTTTCATTTAAAAGATACATGCAAGAAAATGTTTGTTTTGCCTGAACTGAATGAATTGGTAGTGTTTCCATCTTTGTGTTGATTCATGAAACACTGTTCTTTTATTGTTGACAGTATTATTTCTAGAAAGCAAATTATCAGACATGTTCTTTGCTAATATTGTTTTCCAATTTTACTTCCTAGTTGAGGAGATCAAAGTACAATATCCACCTCTTTTTATGCCGGTAGAAAAAGTGAATATAGAGAGGCCTCCACCATCTCTAACAATAGTAGAACTGGATGGTGTAAGTATATAATGATCATTCAAAGTGTTTAACATAGAAAATGTGCAATAGTGATTTTTTTCTAATTATTATCAGTAAGATTTTATTAAAAATTCATCAGCAATTAAGGATTTTATATTTGGATTCCAGATTGTTGATAAATATAAAACTATAAATTTTATTGTAGAGAGCAGATGTATATGCTAACTAAACTTTTCCACTTTTTTGGAAGCATGCATCATGGGATATCAGGAAATCTTCTGCTGTATTAGCAAATAGAGTACAGTTTTGGTGTCTCTTTAGTTCTTAATTTTCTCAGGCTTTCACAAAAAGGTCAGTTTCATTACATGGAATCTTTTGTAAATATACTTAGGCATAAATGTAGTTTCTAGAATATCATTAATATTATTTCCCTTTAAAGGAAAACATAATGTTTATGATTTAAGAAAGTTTTTTTTATAATAATGTCACCATACCGCTGCAAGTTACAATGGAACCAGAGACAGCCAAACAGAGTTCAATCCAAATGACTCAGATGTGATCCAGTCCTTGCATTTTGCCTTCCTAGTTACCTAATAGTTGAATTACCACTTTCCCCAAAATATTCTGACTCTTTGGATGTCTGTTTCAGAAATCCATAAGAACGTAGAGCCTACCTTTTTTTTTTCTTCTATGGCTACCGGATTGATAGCTGCTGCAGCTTTTCTTTCTTCTATTAATGCTTTGTTTATTCTCTATGTAAGTGGGAGATATTAGTCTACTACACATACATACATACACTTTCACACACACACACACACACACACACACACACACACACACACACACTCACATACCATTCGTTACAATTTTGATTCTTTGAATAAGCTGGAGATATGACAGTAAGAAAGCTGGAAAAGTGGTAGTCACTAATCTACTGGGATTGACAGTTGTTACATAAGTTGCTATTATTGGCCCCAGAAAATGACAATTGTAAAAATTGAATAAAACATTTAGTACCCTCAAGGAAGAACAGTTGAATTTGGTTTGTGTGGAACATGTATGATATAACAAACTACAAAGTCATTTGCAGGAAGATATTATAAATATCACCCACAATTAACTGATTAGTGAACTTATTGAGGATACTAATATTATGTAACATGTATTTAATAAGACTCACAAAGCAGAATGTGAAGAACCAGAGAACGCTGTGCCTTACAGAGTTGAATTAGCTGATGCAGAGAGTCAGTTAAGGTAAGATTTTTCTCATTCACTTTGGTTACTCTGTAAACACCAATCACAAAGTACAGGGCCATCGTAGAGTGGTAGGGTGTTTGCCTAGCATGCATGAAGCCATAGAGTTGATCTGATCTATAGTATAACAAAAAGTGATAACAACAACTAAAATACAGCCACGAAAATATCATCCATCAGCCGGGCGGTGGTGGCGCACGCCTTTAATCCCAGCACTCGGGAGGCAGAGCCAGGCGGATCTCTGTGAGTTCGAGGCCAGCCTGGGCTACCAAGTGAGTTCCAGGAAAGGCGCAGAGCTACACAGAGAAACCCTGTCTCGAAAAATCAAAAAAAAAAAAAAAAAAAAAAGAAAATATCATCCATCTCTCTCGCTGGGAAATTCATGGTGCTTAAATGCTTTTTAATGTTAAATTTACTTAAGTCATGCAGGAATTTTTACACATTATTTTTCACATATTTATAAAATAAAGTTGCAATTTTGTCTAATATTTGTATTACTTTATATATTCTTATGAATTTAGTGATTGTCATCATTTGAAGTAGTTTTCCAAGTCACATATAGTTTATATCAACCCTCTTTTCTCTAAAGATCCTATTTGATTGTACTTTCTTCTGAACTCTAAAATAAGAAGTTATATAAATGATTAGGTTCGGGAGACCTCCCCGTCACAGTCTAATACTGCTCTCTATGCAAAGCCTAATATGTGACTGGGAAAAGAAACATAGTAGTTCACTTTGTAACTGCTTTGTGCTATTTTGTCATTTCCAGATGAATAATAAGATCTATTTTTTATTTTAGTAAAGTTAAATATTACCCCCTTTCTGTGAGCTTTTGAATTCCTGGGGTTGAGTGGCAAATGCTCAATGTGACTCCACAGTGGGATGGAGCTTCTTCAGTTAAGTGCATCCTTCACTGGTACTTTGTTCAGATCAGATTCTGCCCTTCCCAGTGTGTTACAGCAGCTCTGAGTCTAAGTGACACCCTGGAACTCCAGGCAGCTCTTTGTCTGAACACAGGTTTTCAAATACTGAACAACAAATGTGCCCTCTTCAGTGGTGAAAGTCGAAAGCAGGATATAGTACTACATTACAGTTGCCAACAATGGGTATCATCTACATACACAGCTGTCCTGTCATGTTGGTAGGGAGGTTTTGATAGGAGAAAGCTTTCTGATCAGTCCTTGAGAGGCTAATATCTCCTACTGTGTTTCCTTAAGGAAATGAAAGATACTCCTGCTTGCTACCTAAAAAGATCTAGTGATTAAGTTGCTAATTGTTCTGCACATCTAAGTTTCTGTGTACTGTGTATGTGTTTGTTGGCATATACTGGCATGTGGAGCGCAGAGGACAACTTGTAGGTCTGGGTTCTCTCCTTCTACCATATATGTTCTGGAGATGGAACTCAGGTCCTAAGACTTTATGACAAGTCTTCTCACCCACTGAATCATCTTACTGCCCCCTGTTTTTGTTCTTTAATATACATTATCCCATGTCTCCTTTGACCCCTGTGTTAAGTGTTAGGATTGATGAAGAAAACTACCCATTATGGTTTGACGTTACTCTCACAGCATGGACTTGAAGGTACCCACAGAACTATACCATCTCTCTCTTTTGTTTTAATCACGAGTGACCTAAGATGATATTTTGGTTAACTGTAATCTGTGAGTTTTATGAATATAGAATTTACATAAAAATCAGGTATTCCTTAGTCTGTAGTAAACATGACAGTTCAGCTGTGTATGTAGATAATACCCATTGTTGACAACTGTAATGTAGTATCATATACATGCTTTTAACTTTCACCACTGAAGAGGGCACAGATGTGTTCATGACATACTGAGATTATAATTCTACCAAATTTCAATGTTCTTGAAAGATGTCAGAAATCAAACATATCAACATTTTGTTAAGTAGGAAATTTCTATTAAAATTTTGCAATATAGTTGCAGTTTATTATATCATATATTTTATACATAATACAATTTAGCTTATATTGTGTAGACTATGTTTAAATTTAAAACAAACATTATAATATTTTTATTGGTTTTTTTTTTTTTGAGAAAGGGTTTCTCTGTGTTGTTTTAGTACCTGTCCTAGATCTCGCTTTGTAGACCAGGCTGGCCTCAAACTCACAGAGATCCTCCTGGCTCTGCCTCCCAAGTGCTGGGACTAAAGGCTTGTGCCACCACCGCTGGGCTTTAAATTATAATTTTATGCAATTAATAAACCAGAACTTTCAGAGACTATTCCTTTTAACTCGTTCTTTGTGCTTGTCCCTAAACACAAAGTTCTACATTTCCTGACTATCGGAATTGCTTTCCACGTGAAAATGACATCCATCAGCACCTTGTTTTCAACAAGGGAACAAAAGACCTCTTAAGTTTTTGTTTGAGAACAAATTCTGCATACCATAAGGATGACTTCAAAGGTGATGTTCTACATTTTACTTAATATATCTTAATAATGAATGTTGGTAGTTTAATAAGACTAGTAGATATAGTTGTTCAGGAACATTGTGCTTATTATTCTGTTCATTATAAAACCAGAAAAATTGATAGTTGCAAGAAAATTGGTTGAGAACATATAATTCTCTTGCAAATAATCTTTTTAACCAGTAGGTAAAAGTGTTGTATTTATAAGCAAATGTGGTGCTCTATAAAATTTATTATGGACTAAATTAGCATTTTAAAGTTTACATAAGGGAAGTCTTTGGGATGAAAGTCTGATCAGTGTTTCATTGCCTTTACATACAATTAAATAGCTTGCCATAATCACATATGATGTGAAGTTTATATGGCATAAGTCCTATGCCCAACAAATCATTCAGTTTTTATTTCTGTGATATCATTCCTTATAGTTTTTTTGAACTTTGTAGATCTGAATGCTGTATAAAAAATTTTGGCCTTTCCTGGCCTATGATTGAAGATCTCTATCTACAGATACACACTGAAGTGTCCTGACCTGGTCATCAGATACAGTTTCCATATCTGCCCCTCAATCTGTGTCACCTTGAAATGCCATCATCTTTTTCTGACTTTCTTTTACTAATGTGCAATTTAGTTACTAAATGATTTTTAAGCTTCTTTTCAAATACTGTATTTTATAAATCTAAGATTTTTCAGGAAAGCAAAAAGTATATCTCTGAAGAACTTGAGGGATACCCAAGGGCATTATTTAAAATAACTGATTTAAATCTGATAAGAACCTGACTGGCCAGCCTAAGGGGAAGAAGACTGGTGGCTTCATACCAGTCCTACCCTGTCCCAACACTTTCCAACTGGCTTGGCCCATATGAACTACATAGACACATGGCAACTTAGCCCTTTGAACGCCCAACTGGTTGTTGTTGTTGTTACTAATACAGAGCCACTTTTCAGTTGTGTTGGAGAAAATTGTGAACAAAAGTAGCTTCAAAGACATTTAAACATGTTTATTGCTTAGAGATGCTTTTTGTTTACATCAAAGTTGAGCAGAAATTACACAGCTCTCCAGTATTTCCTTTGCAATTGCACATACACACCATTGCCCATGATCAACACTCCACACCCAAAGGTTCACTTTTATTTTAGTGTTAAATAATATTCCCCAGTATGAATAAACTTCAGTTTATTCAGTTTTCCAGTTAACTATGGAAGAATATTCTTGGTTTCCAAGGTTTGGCAATTATGAATATAGCTTATACTAGAACCCATCTATGAATTACCTTTCTGTTACTGTAATAAAATACCTTGACTCAAAGATGGTTGGGCATACAGGATTTATTTTAGATTACAGTTACAGAAAGTATACAGTCCATTGTGTCAAGGAAGGCATAGCAGCAGGATCCCCAGTGGTCAGGGAAGCAGAATCCTCACATTTCATTTATATACAGGGAGCAGAGATGAAAAACAAAAAGTGAGGCCAGACTATAAAACCGGAAATCCCACCCCTAGTGAGGTACTTCCTCCCACAAAGCTCTGCCTGCCACAAGTTTTATAACCTTCCAAACAATCTGGAGAAAAAGTATGCAAATGATGAGCCTGTTTAAACCAAAACATTTCTATGAAAGTAACTGAGATATTTTGCATTTCTACAGGGAAAGAAAATTCTTTTTGTACTAGTATTCATTATCCCTTGATATTGTTATATTGTTTCAATTTCCAGCTCCCTAGTGAAATCATATATTTAACATTTTTGATATATTTATTTAACTATCTGTATATGGCTTTGTATGTGTGTGCACGTGTGTGCGCGTGTGTGTGCATGTGCACGTGTGTGTGTGTGTGTGTGTGTGTGTGTGTGTGTGTGTGTGTGTGTGTTTGATGCTGGGATTTTAAACCAGATTATTGTATAGACTAGGAGTACACTCTAACATATCCTCTCTGTCATTTTTAATGATATATTTGTTCACATTTTGCCCATTATAGTTGTTTGCTTTGCTATTATAAAATTTTAAGAATTCTTTGCATATTTTGGATAATACTCTTTGTCAGGCATGTTTTCCCAAATGTTTTCTCTCATTGCCTGACTTCTGCTATTGTACTCCCAACAGTATTTATTACAGAGTATGATGAAAATATTCTCAGCAGTTGTATTTTTCAGTCTTGCAATACATTATTCAAATTATCTGTATACTTTTCAAGGCACAATGCTATCTTTTATTCTAACAAATGAGATATTTTTGTGTTTGGATCCTTCTAAGAGACAAGCACAGCATTATTATTGACCTTTCAATATTATTATAGCCTTCTTGACTTCCATTTTTTTTTGTTTTCTTCATCTTTTTCTTTTTTAAATTTTTTTGGGGGGTTATAATATTTTCTTTCTTTCTTTATCAAGATTTTTTCATTCATTTTACACATCAATCAAAGATTCTCCTCTTTCCTCTTCACACACCCCCCCAGTCTCCCCCTCCAGACCCACCCCCCACTCCCTCCTACAAGAAGGCAAGGCCTCCCATGGGGAGGTATATCCAGTAGAGGCAAGTCCAAGCCCTTTCCCCTGTCTCACGGCTGCACGAGGTGTCCCATCATAGGTAGAGGGCTCCAAAATGCTGACTTTCTTTTAGAATCAAATATCTGATCAATAAATTTACTTTGCTTCTCATAATATTAATGATTTTATTAATTATAGCAGTTTGAAGGGGAATTTCCAAATACCATGTGTAATTGCCAAGTTATATAAATATTTGGTAAGAACAGGCAACACTTTGGGGCTATAAGCTAGAATATACACTAGAGAAGTCTTAGTCAAAGTCTCCAGTATTTTACATAATCTATCAAGCAATAGAGGTGTTTTGGAAAGAAAGTAATAGTTGAACAGTTTCAGTGCTATCCAATATAAATAATGTTTGATATGCCTTATAGTGAAAGGAACTTGGTAGAAAAAGTCTTCCAGTAATTTAAATCCTCAGAACAATTTGCTCAGTGCTTTGCCACATGGACTTCACATTAGTCACATACATGTTTGATGGGAGGGGATAACAAATATTTTTCTCAGAGTTTCACCTCGGTGTCTAATTGGTGGATGTTGAGCTATACACTGACTGTCTTAAAGCAGAGTGGTGATAATTCTGGTCTTTATCCCAGTGAAAACCAGTGATCTGAGTGATCACTGGGACAGACATAGCAAAGTGATGACTAACACTGTCTTGCTCATTTTGTGCCTTAGTACAGCAAATGTCTCTGCCACACTTTCTCTCTACCCTTCACTGCTGCTGTTTTAAATTTAATTGACTTCCTTCTCTATGTACTCTCATAATTTGGACCAAACAGGTAAAATATGGAAAAATGTAAATACATTTTGATAAAATAAGATTTATAGGTTAAAAACTTAAGCACTGGACTTTTGGTTTGTGAACAACTTCATCAATTTATTTGTAACGTACTAATATCTTGTTAAATATGTATTTTCAACAACAGGATCTTCAAATACAGATTTTGGCAATACTGTGGAGTCTGGTATTTATTCTCATGAGTTCCAAAAAATAGAAGAAACCAGTCCTTTTGAACAAAATGTAGCAGAAAAAAATATAGACCCAGGAAACCACCAAAATTCTGGTGATTCCTGTACGTCATTTTGGAGCAAGGGTTCCTTGACAACTGTAGATTTAGATACATCGTTCATTGAGGAGAATTCATCTCAAGACACCAGCACATCCTTGGAATGCAGCAATCTGAAAGAGAGGCCAAACTTAGAAGATTCAAAAACTACAAAGTCACCACCGGTAAATAACTATGACATTTATTATATTGTCAGTTTATAAGGATGTTCTTGAGAAAATGATGTTTTAATATAGTACACACTAAAATGTTATTTTCTACTGAAGTTAAAATGTGCTGTTTTATTACATAATAGCTAAAGCATGACTCATATGGAAATAGAGACTAGGGGCTTATATAGGACTAAATCTTATAAGATGAATGTCATTTTAACAAACATTTTTCTGTGACAAATTGTACTAAAGAACCACCACATACACATATCAAGAATAATGGTATTTTTCAAATAAATTTCACTTATGAAGTATGGAGTGTAATGCATTCTATAATATACATGTATAAGTACATGTATATGTTGTATATGTATAACCACAGACATACAAGCATCAATCCATTTTCACATAAGGACTCACTTCAAATGAACTTGCCTTCTTACCACACTAGTAAAGAAAGTAGTTGCTATGGTGTGGATTTCAACAAAGAGAAAAGGCAAGAATTTATCTTCCCAATTTCCATAGCTCACTGTAAAGATGGTTTGACACATCTATTCATATAGGGGAGAAATTCTGCACTTAGGGAATGCTAATTCAATGGGGAGAATCTGGTCTGATCTATCCTTCAGGAAGCTCAGAGGAAAATGGCTCAGAGTGCTGACGTAGATGGTGGCAATCTGCATTTGTAAATAAAAAAAGCCAATTTTCAGAGCAAAATGTCTGCTGCCTTCTGACAGTATCCACAAGAACACAAAAGGGTCACAGATGGCTGAAATCTTAGACTCCTGATTTCTTTCTCTCTTGGCCTCTATTTCCCAGACTCCTTTTTCTTCTCAGAAGGGATTTCATATATAAAGTTGAAAAACTAATTATTAGAAAATGTATATAGATGGTCTCTTCAAAAATTGTAAAGTTCAATTTTTGTTGTCTTGGAATACGTAGTAAGATCCGCAGTGTATTGCAGTTGCTGTCAACACCCAGATAAAGTATAATTTTGAAGGTTCAAGTGTATTAAACATTTTCAATCCAAATACTTTTAAACTCAAAAAGACATTTATTAGGGCACAAAGCCACTGTGAGTAAAAGAACATATGTAATCTATGAATGAAAATAAGAAATCAAAAAAAATGAATCATGGACATGGCCCCAAAATAATGAAAATTCAATAATAAGCTAAATTTAATATATTTAGAAAGAAACAGTGATGATCAGAAAGAGATGTTACAACAAAACTAGAAGTTATTATTAAAGTAAAAAGATTAATAAGATCCAATTCTGGGTAGAGGCTGGAAGAAAAAGTACAAAAATATATGTAGTAAATTGAATGTGAGAGATATAATTTTAAACTGCAATTACATTGATGTATTATTCAAATGATTCAAAACTTTGAAAAGCAGCAGAGATTTTCTATAAATATGACTTATGAAAATTTAGTGTGAATGAATTTAATAATCTAAAGAGACAGATGCCATTTGCCATGATTTACTTGTTTCTTCCCAAGTTCCTATGTTGGAAACTTAATCCCCAGTGCCAGAAGTATTCAAGTCAAGAGGTAGAATGTACAACAAGCACTGATCACAGCGTGTGTGCTTTTCCTTAAAAATATCTGGTGGCGGGTGTTATGGAAGTAGTTTTGCTATTTGACAGGGCTTCTTACAATAGTAGGTTTGGCCTGCTCTCATTCTTTCCTTCCACATTCCTCCATGGGATGGTAGACCAAGAAGGCTCCTAACAGACATGGAGCCTAGATCTTAGACTTTCCAATATTCAAAAATCAAAATAAATTCACTTTCTTTACAAATTTCCTTTGCATGTGATATTCTATTATGGAAACAAAATAATGAGTGAAGACATAATGAAAGCATTTGAACTAATAGTAAATGCATTTGTTTTTCTGTAAAATTTTTCCTTCATAATAAAGACATGGAAGATTGCAGGTCAATGTCAATAAATCATCAAGTAATTTATATTCTAATCTAATCGCTCAATTTCTTGTGCAAACAAAAAGGGATAAAATTCCTTAATTACTTCCTTAGACCAGTGTACCTTTGATGGAGAAATTTGAAAAACCCTATTTTTCAGAGTATAAACTCAGAAATCAGAAAATAATGGTGAACTGATTCCAATAGCCTATTTATGAAAAGTCAGTCAAATGGCTTTGAAGAATACAGATACTCAATAGATATAATAAGAGAAATCTAAATTGTTTTCATTGAATGATTAATAAAGTGCATTTTCAATTACCCTAATAAAAGACATTTTGAAAAAATATATATAGTTTGTGGTAACTCTCATAATGAAAATAGTATAGTAGTTAAGATGAAATGTAACTATATTTGTTAGCATAAACATAACTCAAAATACAACATGATGACTTCTTCCTGGTCTACAATGTTTTTAACTAAATTACTGATATTAACTTGTGTGACCCAGTCAGATATTACATATATCCAATTTTAAACCATTCAAAAATTTTAAATAAAACCTTTAAATGTTACTAATTATATTTTTGGATTCCTCTTATTACTACTCTTAAGAATGTGTGCTTTTCTTAAAGTGGTAACACTTATCATCACTAAGCAAAATTGCTTTTATTCATAGGTGCTCAGCATATTTTGTAAAATTTTGCTCAACAGATATACAGAGGATCTCAGAGTTTTTTTAGTGTTAGCCATCTGGTTATTTCAAAGAATCTGCTACCCCAACTATTTTGATTTGGTCACATAGACTAATCATCCCTTATCTATTTTCAAGTAGGCAGAAACTATCCACAATCTTCTAGGGCATAGTATAAGCCAATGTCATAAACAATAAAGTACTCATTTGTGGAGCCTTGTATTTTTGATCTCATATTTCCAAGGCAAAAGAAATAACCTTTTCCCTAGGAGTTTGTCAGTAAGGTAAACAACATATAATGCACTTCAGTTTTATTCACTATGGAATAAAACAGTGTAATTTGCTTCACAGAAAGTGTCTTCTGCTAGTCATAGCCTCAACCTGAGAGGCCAGGACATTGGGTGAGCACCTTCATTCAGGGTCTGACTAGGCTATTCTCTGGGGTGAGTTGGATTATTGGTACAAAGGATTTGAGTGACAGGAAGTTACCTCTAGGAGTTTGTTCAATAATGAGAGTGTTTGAGGGTGGACATCAGAAGAGTTGGCACTTCACAGTTGAAGAATGAATTCTTGCTTTCAGACATTGAGAAAGCTGAATTCACTCTCTCTTCATCCCTAATGCAAATACCCAAACTGATTTTAAGTTCTCCTTTGGCAAAGTGGAAACAATTCCCTTACCAGCAATCATATAGAAGTCTACTCTGTTCAAGAATATAATTTAAGTTCAGGAAGTGGGGGCAAGTTTGGCTGTGATTTTTCCTGATAGCCAAATTGAAAGTAAGGTTATTCATTTTGGACTTCAGTCTTCATAAAGAATTTCTTATTGAATTATTTAGTAAGTTTGGGGGGCTGTGCTGGGATGAAAATGGACTAGTTGGAGGTCCTTGGTTCTACTTCTGAAACTATCAGAAGTAAACTGTGAATTTGAGAAAAAAATCATAAAACAAAATATCACCATTATAAATTTCTGAACTCTAAACTCAGAATTTAAAAAGTTTTTAGATTGATGGTAGCATAATTCATGTATGAACATCATTATCGATGACCAATATATGGGAGAGCCACAAACAATGTCCTAGAGAGTAGACTAGGATTTTTCAATGAAATATATTACTGGTTGCCAGATTTATTTTAGGAGATTGAAATGTGATCTGTAAATTATTTTTGGAGCTATAAGAATCACTGTGTGGTAGTTATCCTTTTGGAACAAAGCATTTTTAAGTATTAATTAACATTGAACCAGGAATTGTTAAATACTGTTAATCACTCTCATGCATCTTAAATCTATCTAGAAGTCTTACTTATGAATTACTTGTTTTCTCTTGGGGTTCATATTTTTTTAAATGATCTGGCTAGGTGTGCTAGCTAGTCTTATGTCAACTTGACACAAGCTAGAGTTATCTGAAAGGAGAGAACCTCAATTGAGAAAATATCTCCGTAAGACCTCGCTGTAGGATGTTTCTTAATTAGTGATTGATGGTGGAGGGCCTAACCATTGTGAGTGGGGCTATGCCTAGGCTGGAGGTCCTATAAGAGGGCAGGCTGAGCAAGCTATGAGGAGCAAGCCAGTAAGCAGCACCCTTCATGGCTTCTGCATCAGTTCCTGCTCCGGGTTTCTGCCCTGCTTGAGTTCCTGCCCTGACTTCTTTGATGGTGAACCTTGACTTAGAAGTGTAAGCTGAATAAACCGTTTCCTCCCCAAGTTGTTTTTGGTCATGGTATTTTGCTGCAGCAATAGAAAATCTAACTAAGATACCATATAACCCAGACTGCTCTTGAACTCATAGCAATCTTTTTGGTCCATTCCTTTCTAGGTGCTGGGAATACAAGTATAAGCCAGCATGTCTAGCTCATGTTTTGTTTTTGTATTATATTCACAGACATGAACTGTTTTAAAACAAGGTGATAAACAATGAGTTACCCAGGTGTTAGAGTAAGTCTAGGCATGGAATCCAAAGGACACAAAGTCTAGATTTGCTAGATTATAGCTTGTGGGGCGTTTACCCACCACCCCCACAGCTTCCCAGAGTTTTCTTGAGTG